TAGAATAGAATAGAATACTTTATTGGCCAAGTGTGATTGGACACACAAGGAATTTGTCTTGGTGTAAATACTCTCAGTATACATAAAGAAAAGGTACATTCATTAAGAATCAAGAATCATAATGTACAACACTTAATGATAGTCATAGGGTACAATCAACAATCAAATCATACTAGGAAACAGTTAATATAAATCGTAAGGATACAAGCAACAAAGTTACAGTCCTACAATCACAAGTCGGAGGGGATGGGTAATAAGGAGTGATGAGAAGATTAACAGTAATAATAGTGTACACTTTGTAAATAGTTGAACAGTGTTGAGGGAATTATTTGTTTAGCAGAGTGATGGCTTTCGGGAAAAAACTGTTCTTGTGTCTAGTTGTTCTGGTGTGCAGTGCTCTATAGCGTCATTTTGAGGGAAGGAGTTGAAACAGTTTATGTCCGGGATGTGAGGGGTCTGTAAATATTTTCACAGCCCTCTTTTTGACTCGTGCAGTATACAGGTCCTCGATAGAAGGCAGGTGGGCAGTAATTGTTTTTTCTGCAGTCCTATTTATCCTCTGAAGTCTGTGTCTGTCCTGTTGGGTTGCAGAACCAAACCAGACAGTTATAGAGGTGCAGATGATAGACTCAATAATTCCTCTATAGAACTGTATCAGCAGCTCCTTGGGCAGTTTGAGCTTTCTGAGTTGGCGCAGAAAGAACATTCTTTGGTGTGCTTTTTTGATGATGTTTTTGATGTTAGATGTCCATTTTAGGTCATGTGATATAGAACCTAGAAATTTGAAGGTCTCTACTGTTGATACTGTGTTGTCTAGTATTGTAAGAGGTAGTAGTATGGGAGGGTTTCTTCTAAAGTCTACCACCATTTCTACAGTTTTGAGTGTGCTCAGTTCCAGATTGTTCTGGTTACACCACGAGGCAAGTTGTATAACCTCCTGTCTGTATGCAGATTCATTGTTATCTCGAATGAGACCAATCACTGTTGTGTCATCAGCAAACTTCAGTATTTTAACAGATGGATTGTTTGAGATGCAGTCATTGGTATATAGGGAGAAGTGGAGATAGCACACAGCCTTGGGGGGGGGGGGGCTGTGCTGATTGTACAGTTATCAGATGTGATTCCGCCTAGCTTCACCTGCTGCTTCCTGTCTGTTAGGAAGCTTATGATCCACTTACAAGTGTGTTCAGGTATTTAAAAACACCAAAAGCAGAATTCTATTTGCAAAATTTTCAATATTTTGAAGGTACTAGTTACACCGTTCATATATTTGTTTTTGTGTCTGTGTGTATATAGGTAGTCCTCAGCTTTCATCCATTTGTTCAATAACTGTTCAAAGTTACAGTGGTCCTAAAAATGGACTTATGACCAGTTCTCGAAGATTTGTCTATCACAGCATCCCTGAAGTCATGAATTCAATCTGGGTTGTCAGATGCTTGGCTTGTAATCATGAAGTTGCAGTGAGCTGTCTCATGTAATCACCATTTGCAACCTTCCTTCCTGGCTTCCCACAAGCAAAGTCAATGTGGAAATGAGCAGAGAAGGTCAATAAATCATGTCAATAAATCACTCCCTTCACTTTTTCTTGAGGAGCCCCACTACAGAATGTGAGATCCTGGGGATCACCTCTACCTTCCTACACTCCATGTTTCATGCCACTTGCAGCACCACCCTATTTGTCCACAGGCTCTACCTTCCCTGCTACTTCTTCCATAAGCCCATGAGTCTTGGGAGTTATGATAGCAATAAGGACCATTATCACATCATGACAGGGTCATGTGACTTCATGCCTTACAACAGGCATGATATTCCCCTCTGAAAAAATAATCTGAAAAGTAGCCAGGGGTGCAGGGGTTGCCTAAGCACCCGCCGCGGTCCGCGCAGCGCCCCGGTGGGAATTAAATTGGCAATGCCCCCTTGAAGTAATCAAAAGTGATTTTTCAAGGTGAGTCTGCATGATAGTTTTATTGTTTGACAAAAAATAATAATAAAAAGCACCATGAGAATGCTCTTGGGGCAAAGGATTTCACATTTAAAAAATAAAACAAACAAAAACAACAAACAAACCCTGCTTAACAGACAGAAAAACAGCCACAATGCTTCACCTCTAATTGGACTTTCTCTTTGTTCCCTTTCCTTTGATCAGCATTGCTTCTCTATGCTTCTTTCTAGCTAGTTGAACTGATAGCATAACTTTGAGTCTGGCCTGTCTTTTGGCTACAGTTGTCTTCCTCTTCAGTTCCAGATTAGCCCTCTTTGCTTTTAAATCCTAAACAGCTGGAGGGGACCATGTTGCAGAAATGTGGAGTAGTTGCAACCATCATTTTAATGAAACATTCTTCTGAAAGGTGCCATAACATTTTGCTGGTTTTTTAAGGTGCCACACATGTTAAAGTGGGAAGCTCAGGCAGTGCAATATGCCTTATCTTTTATGATGGTGGGTTGGGGGCTGCAACTATTATTTGACCTTTAAAGTCACAGAAGAGGAAGTAATATCAACGTTAAGTCTTGTTGGCCAAATCTTCGCTACAGGTATCCCACACAGCTACACAAAGAGCAGTGAAATCCAACTTCCTAAAGAGAAACCGCCTTCCCTCTGCCTTAAGAAATCTGTCAGTTGAGCGAAGCAGCATTTCTTTCAGTTGCTTAGTAATCCGTGTAGTTCGTCGCCGGCTGCCTCCCTCAGGACAATGGAGGGTTGGCTAACAATAGCTGAACGAAGCTCTTTTCCTCCGGAGCCTTTGTCTCTGCGATCTGTAACTCCTGGGAAAGTATAAGCTTTTCTTCTTCCACTCAGCCGAGCATTTTCATTCCCGCGCTGCCTCCAAAGATACTTCCTTCAGGGCCAGGGGGTGGAGGAAATCACCTGAAGCCGGCTGCATGCGTGGGAAGAGAAGAGGGAAAGTGGGGCAATATTGGCGGGAACGGGAAGCGAGGCTTGGTGCCTCTGTTGCTTTCGGCGACGAAGGGGGAAGAGTGGCTTCTCCACCTATTGTAGTTGGCCCCGACGAACGGAAAGACGCGTCGTCCTTTGCCAGCGTCCCCGCACCTGGCACGCACCACACACACACAAGCACGCAACCCCACTCGCGCTCTAGTGAGTCACAAGCAGGTCAGGAGGACCGCATGGGAAGGGAGGGGCGCAAAGCCTTCGGAGCCGCCACAAAGAGCGGGAGAGAAGCTCGCTCGAGCCCTGTCACAGCCAGCGCGTAGAGGCTCCCTCGCAGGCGGCGCCTGAGGCGTCTCAGCACCTTTCCTCCAGGTGGTTCAAGCTGCAAGAAAGGAAAAGGGGAAGCGTGTAGCTCCTGCAGTCCAGGCCGTTTTGTGGCAAAAACGAAAAAAAGTAGGAATCACTGTTCGGAAAAGAAAAAAATTGGAATTCCGATTTTAGTCGGAAGAATATCATGTCTGTTACAAGTGCATTGCTTAGCAATGGCAATTCTGATCAAACTGCCATCGTATCCCAAGATTATCTGCTTCTCACATGTTTGTATGTGTATCTGTGTATAAATGTATAATAAATAAATATCATACTTGTAGTAATAGCTTATGTATTTGCTCTGTAATTTCTTCAATATTAGGATGTCGCATTTTTTCTTCTGTGTGCTGAGGTACAAATACATCTTCATTCAAAGGGCTCCTAAAAATCATTAATAATATATAATAACAAGTTTATTTATTTCAGTTACATATCGTCTATTTTTTCTCTTACATCTATAAACATTTAAACTGATCAAATATTCAGGCTTAGATTCTCCAAACATGACTTTATTTATGTAATCTGAAGCAACTCTTGACAAGACTTGAAAGATTTGGGACAATTGTAAGTTTCTTATAAACATTTAGTATTCAACACGTGCAAATTTAAATGTAGTTGTTAGCTCCCCATTTATCAAAGAAGTCATTTCTAAAGTACACATGCAAATCAGTACCACTATACCTTAATTTGACATTTTGACTTTCCAAAAGATATTCATGATTACTAAATGAACATAAGCTAGAATATCTAAAATTCTAAATTTATCCATATACTACCCATATATCATATATATCACTGAAAAAAGAAAGCTGAGAAACCTTGTACAAGATGACATCCAAACCATGATTTCAAAAGTGACCTACGGTTTGTGTGAAATGATTAGACTGCATTGTATAACAAATGGGCTTGTTCAATTACATAATTCAATTCCCATAAGGAAATCATTAAAGCCTCTTTAGTGTAGATTTGAAGAAATACTATACTGTATAAGCAGTACCTGAATAACCTATATTGGATATAGTCTGCAATGGCATCCATGATGAAAATGTGGGCAAACTTGTGTAAGATGCCAATCATACAACTCACAACAGCTTTTCTAAAATAGACTAATCTGGACCTTGTTTTAAGGAAAGGGGATAAGGAGAACTTTTTTACTGTCTTACCAATTTGGACTAACCTTTCCTGGTACCAGCCTTTACACTGACAGAAAAGTTCTCCAAGAGACCTAATCTTTGATTGGTACCATATCACAACATGAAAATAAATAATCCCTTGATAAAAGTAAATACTAGGGTTTTTCTTTGTTATTTATTGTTATTATCTTTTAACATTTAGGTAAGCTATATATGTGAAATTTAGGCAAACTATATATGTAAAGAGCCAATCATATCCAATCTGGCACTGTGAAGTCTACATCTGTTCTACAGAACGAAGAAAGAGGAGGGAATTATCCTTTTACACAGAGGATTTCTTTAATTGTATAATTAAAATTTTGGTACATTCTAATGTAAGGAGACCTCTTGCAAACAATTCATCTCATGAATTCTTGCTTTATTGACACTAATTTCTTACGTTCTAACTTTGTGTCTTCCAATTATGAATGTAATCTTTCGACTCCAAGGATTGATGAAACTGGACCAGCTTGTATCCAGAGTTACATATTCACCATTTCTAGTACAAAATCTGATTGGTGAATAATCAAATGGTTGTCCGCCATACTGAAGTACTGTAAAAAAAAATCATGCAAGCTTTAATGATAAAGAAATAGAGGAAAGTGATCTTTTGAAAATCAGTAGCACACTATAAAACTACTTAACCTGTAAATATTAAAGGAGAAATTATTTGCTTGCTACTAACAGTTTATGAAAAAGCTCTTTGAACTTGAGACTCAGCATGAATTATCTAATTTGATTTTAGCTCAATGGAAGATGAAAAGAACTGCTGACCCTAAAATTAACTTTTGTCTCTGCAATGTTGAAAATGGGCAATGATAATATTTACACAGTATGTTTAAATTCAAGATTCTAAATTTTAGACTGAATATAGACTTGGAGCAATCAGAAGGCTGTATTAAATTCTTCTACAATATGCTAACAACATTTATAATGTTTTAAATAGTCAAATATTTGAAATTTCTCTGAAAGAAATTAGACTGAGGCTATTGAGGAATTCACAATTAGATATTAATATACATATATGCTATTTTGCATATATACTTCAATACTTGAAAATATGGCTGTATTTACAAAGATGCTTTACAAAGCATTGTTCTTCATAGTGTTAAAGCTGTCAGATTCTCTGAAGGTCTAGCATAGTTGATTCACAGATACTCCTCTCTGAATGTTTCTGTACAGGTACAGAAGACATTTCCTTTGAGACTGAACAACCTCAAATCTTAATGGAATAATATTTCAGTCATAAGTATACACATACACATCTCAATTTTGAATTTTTTAGGTATCATGTTCTTTGGGTGTCATGGTCAAATTTTTATATTTTTATATCAGTGGATCTAATTATTGCTTAATCTATTCTCTGTCACCAATAATGTGATTAAAATAGAAAAAATGGTACCTTTGCTCAGATACTTGAATCTACAAATAAACAAGACAGAAGAAGAGAGTGGAGTGGAGAGAGTAAGTAATCAAAATTTAATCAGGAGATCAATCTGTTAAATATTTTTTAAAACTCCATGAACATCCCTTATGCTTTATTGCATTTGCTTTTTTCATTTTTTACTTCCCACCCTTCATGAAAAGCAAAAATAGAAAAACGTACTTTTTTTGTGAATTGTTAGCATTAATCCTCTGTCACTTGGATGAAGATGTAGTAAAACAGAAGTTCCAATTAAGTCCTGAGGTAAGTATCCCAACAGAGGAACAGCTCTTAAAAAAGAATTTGAATAAAAATAGAGCAGAACACATTTTACATATATAGTATATCAATTTAATTTCAACTGAAATAAAATGAAAATAGGTACAGCATATCTGGAATTTATGTCACATTTAAATTTACAAAACAATGGGAAAAATAATTATATTTCTCTCTTTATAAAAGTTATCTATATGATATATAACGTTATAAAACTCAGGTAGCAGTATGAAATAACTATGCTGTCCTTTAATCCCCAACCCCCGGACTGTGACCCACTACTGGGCCATGGGCTATTTGCAACTGGGCCACACAAACTGTGGACTGGTGCGCAAACGTGCAGCTCGACTTGTGTGAGTGGCAGGCCAGTGCACTACACACACGCACGCTCAACTTGTGCAAATTAAGCTGCACACAAGCTCACTGCTCACGTAGCTCCGTTCCCCTCTCCCCCTTGTCGGGCTTAAGCCACACAAAGATTGGGGAATGCTGCTTTAATTTTTATAATGCAAGGTTTTCATTCAGAATTTAATGATGAATTTCTGCTATTAGTAACGGAGAGAAAAGAGGAACAAAATCATTCTGAAAGGGAGGAATTATATTTCAATTTTTTTTATTTTATGCAGAACTTTTTTCTTCATAATTTGACAAAAACCAACAACATAAATCCATGCATTATTATAACGTGCACATTATTATTTTTATAAACAAGGCAGCAAAACATTTTTAAAACATTAAGCATGGTAGTTTTAATTCACCTTTCATCTACTTCTTGGAATAAGCAACTTGGTGTATGGATGGTTGTAAAGATTCTTTTATTAGGAGGAATTCTAGGTGCTAAAAGAAAAAAAGAAGAACATTTAATAGAAATAAAAAATGTTTGTAAACAGAGTACACGAAAGAAACATATAATTTTTGGAGTGTTCAACTTCTTCACAGCAACTGGTACTAAAAGCAGATGACCCATCAAATAGTGTGACCAGTTTGTTTTAATTCTGTGAACTTTTTGTATTTAAGACAAGCTAGTTATTTGAAGTTATGACATTAAAATCCTATTACAATAAATATAATTCAAACACTTACATCTTGAATCTATTTTATTGAGATTAGCCAAGCCTATTTTTACTGAATAATTCTTAGAATATTACAGGAAAGGATAAACAAAATCTTTGTTTCCCAACTGGTAGTACATGAACTACAAGGAATATTCCCCTCTTTAAACCAGCAAAGAAGGTAGATAGGAAACAAAAGAGCCAAGGGTGGAGGAAAGCAGAATATAGCAGAACAACAGGTCTCCAGTTGGGTGAGGAGATGAATGAGTGTCTTCTCTAGGATCAAAAAAGCTTCTGAGATAAGGCTAATGAGGGAATAGGTTTGTTTGTCAATCTTGACTGTGCTGGTTTCATGATGGTATGGGGGGGGGGGGGAATGGGATTTTGGGAGGAGTCAGCAAGCATATTTTCATACTTTTGTTAGTCAAGATTACTACAAAACACACATGCTAGGAGCTTTCAGCATGGCAATTATATGGGAACAAGATATATAAAAATGTCATTGCGATAACGATGAAAAAAGGCCTCCTCCATTCTATCTAAAAGCCCTGTTTTGGATAAGGTTGTGTTACTCTTGATAGGACAAATTTATTGACCATGGAGGTGTACAATAAAGCAACCAACCAACCAAATGATCATAACATACACATGCAAAAATACAGAAATAATCATTCTTAAAACTGTCAAAACTATTTTAATCAGAAATTATATTCATAAAGACCATTACCAAATAAATTGTCTACCACAGAGGAAACATGTTTCTTATGTTGTTCCCCAGCTAGGACACATACATATCTCAGGAATAATCTCAGCTCCTTTCTATTCACTTTTAGGAAAATAATGACCTTTTGTCTTTAGCCAGAACTTTTCAGAGTGAGTTAATTTAATAGAGGATATACCTGTTTTTATTATAATTTAACCATAAACACATAAAACTGTAAGCTCCTTAGATGTCTTATGGACAGAGAAGCTGTATATAAGGTATAAAAGAACAAATAAATAAAATATGGAAATAAGGCCACCAATTCTATGCATACTTATATATCCAGTCAAAATCAATTAACTCTATTTTCCAATAGGTATACATATACTGTAACAGGAGGAATGGGAAAAATAGGCATTATATTACCATAATAATGCTAATAATTTGCTTCCAAGTAAACTTGATTAGTAACAGACATTACTTATCCTCTAAGTAACTTTTTTTACAAAATATAATAGCTTTTCACATTGGAACCTCTCTATGTTATCAATGGTAGCTTCCTCAAAAAACGAGCAGTTTTCATAAAATACTAGGTCTTTTTTGCTTTGAAAAGAAAAATACAGTATTATTACCTTCATAACCAGAGTGTACCTTTTCTGCAAGCAACACACAACAAAGCTGATCTTCTATATCTTGTATTTTAATAATATATGGTGTCATACGAAATGGATGGTAATGATTCTCATTTATATTCACTTTTCCTGCACTAAAAATTTGAAAAAAACAACGTAGTTCAGTTGTTATATTGTTATAGATTATTAAATATAGTATAGTTTTGGGGATTTTCAGAAATGAATGTATCACTTTTTCCATTCAAATGAGGAAATTTTATATTTTTTTACTAGAATGTTTCATTCATGTCTTCTGAATAGTAATCATGAAGATCAAAGGCAAGGATTGCTGCAGGGAAAAGTAGCAACTTTTCTATGAGAAAATACAAGGGTGTGCCTGAGTCCAAGTCCCCCACAAAATACTGACTATTGATTATCATAGTTTGTATTACCTGAAGCGGCAGAAGAAAGATTTTTCTTCCATGAACTCCTGGGTAGCAGATTCTATAAAAATATTTAAAACATTTGATAAGCTATAAAACTCTGTGTCCCCTTGGTAATAGGAAGCTATTTAGTTATGCTGGTAAAACAGAATGTCAATGCTGAATTGCTGGCAGAACAATTCTAAATGAGGGTTGGGAGAAGCTTGCACCAACCAGAATGAAAAACATGTTTTTATAGCAAAGCTTTTGGAGGTATTCTTCAGGAGGAACCCAAATGTTCCCATCCAAACACGCTGTGCTTTGAGAGCAAAGCACACACAGACAATGTGAATAGATCATTGAAATGATTAAGCCTTCAAAGTATCACCTGCCATTTCACACAGCAAATTAGACTGGAAGTTACAATTGCTTTGTGAAGTGCGTCTCCAAATCATTTGGATAGTCCTTGTATGCATGTCTATGGCCTGTCTCCTTCCTATGAATTAGGCCCAAGGGGTTCTGTATTCCACAAAGGAGATGGCCTTGGCAGTGCAAATACAAACATATAAGATAGAAGTATAAAATAAATTCAGTTACTAAAGAATCAAATAAATTTGAAAATGAAATTATAATAAGTACGAGCCCCTTTCCAGATTAACAGCAATCACAGAGATTACTTGCAAATGTTTGGCTCCTATTATAAACTTTAAAATCTACCAATGACACAATTATTTTTTATCTGTCAAAATGGACTCTATACCAGGGCTCACCAACCTTTTGGAGCTCAAACTCATAATTTTAAATCCCGCGGACCACTAATATAAATTTTGACTGACAGCGGCTTGCTGACGTTTTCCCATGGTCTCTGCAGAAAGCAGCAGAAACCCTGGGGATATTCCCCACCCCATTTTCCTACCGATCGATCATTATTTGAGATCACAGGATACCGTCTCCAGCTTCATTCTCAGGGGGAGAGAGAAAGAGAGAGAGAGAGAAAGACTTTTGACTTTATGCAAGGAAAGTAACAGAAGCAGCAGAAGTCTTTCTTCCTCTCCCCCAAACTCCACCAGAAATGAGTCTTTGTGAGACTTGTCGTGCCGGCGCAGCCTCTTGGAGCAGGATGCCTTGCAGGGTCCCAAAGACTCCTTTCTGGCAAAGTTTGGGGAAGAGAAAGAAAGAGTTTTGCTGCTTTCCTTGCGTGCAGCCAAAAGCAGAAGCTGAAAGAAGCAGCCAGGTGGCCAGGCGAGGTGCGTGGGGCGAGTGGGACAAGTTCCCCCCCTCTGCCATTTCCTCCCTCCCCTCACTACCTCATGTTGTTCGGAATGCAAGTGATGCAAGCCTTTTGTTCTCATGGGTCATGTGGGCGGAGCAGCCTTGTGTTCCTGCGCAGCCTGGATTATTTGCTTTGGGGGTGACATTTCTCTGTGGACCACCAAAATTTTCTTGTGGGCCACCAGTGGTCCCCGGCCCACTGGTTGGCGACCACTGCTCTATACAGTATTTCACTGTTAGATAAGGTAAGATTCTTTAGACTGGCATATGCATGGCAAAAGAATATATAGTACAAGACAAAGTATTTTCAGTTTTACTTTACAACTGATATATTCACATTTAACCAAAGGAAATCAAGAAAATGTTTCCATATAGCAACCCCAATATTGTGAAAACTTTCCTCAATGAAGAAACGTTTGCAGATAGAATAGTTTTATAATTATCAGTTTTTAAATTTGACCACAATGACTTGTGACCATAATGGAGCCCAAAATTTGTGTTGCTACGTTAATCATTTAAGTGAATTTTGCCGTATTTTATGATCTTTTTGCCACAGTTATTAAGTGAATCACCATAGTTGTTAAGTGAGTAACATGGTTGTAAAGTCAAACTGGCTCTGACATGACCCCGGGACACTGCAACTGTCATAAATATGAACCAGATGCCAAGCATCCAAATTTTGTTGACATGACCATGGGGATGGATTGTAAATGTAAAAAACAGTCATAAATCACTTTTTTCAGTGCTGTTGTAATTTTGAACAGCCATTAAATGAACTGTTATAAGTTGAGGACTATCTGTATATCACTTGGAAAACTGAACTAAGATAGCAGTCCCCAATTTTTTGTTTCTGTGGATTAGCGGGGGTGGTGGTTACAGTCTGAGGAATGGTTTTGTGCAAGCAATGGGATCACTTGCCCTGCTTGCACAAATGGAGATTCGTGTGCTTGCCTGCTTGCCCGCAGTTTATGCAGTCCGGTTCCTGCTGTGTGTGGCCCAGTATCCACTTGTGTGGCACCAGGCTGCAGCCCAGGGGTTGGGGACCCTAGAATTAAAAGACTAAAGAATAAATTTATGGACAAAAGCATATAGATTATTTGTTCCTGTGGAACTCATTTGGCACTACCTTCTTCTGGGATATTTTTCATCTCCTAATCTAGATTATAGCCCTGATGTGCCTGTGATTTCATAGCCATCGCCCAACCTTCTTGTCTACTACACTTTGACAGGTGCTGTCACCAGCTGACACATCATTAAAAATACAGTAATGAAACAGTGATCAGAGTTTGCCCAGAAAAGTGGTTTCATCATGAGAAAAAAAATCAGAAAAGATCAAAAGAGCTAGCATTAGTAAAAAGAACTACACAATTAAGGTTCTAGATTTTTCATGAGCAAACACAATTATAATTATCTGATCTTTAAAGAAATATAAACTTCTCAAGTAAGTATGGGTAAAACATTAACATAGGCACAATTGAAGAATTTAACTGACTTACCAACTCCATTGCAAATACTCCAAGATGGCAATCTATATGGTATAGTTGAGCTATAGAACACACTGACATCCTGAGGTGCCAGAAATTCCACAAATTTGGCATTTTTAAATAAATCTTTCTTACAATGGAGGATACAGGCAGCCTGATCAGAGATGTACAAAATTTTCCCAGTAGCCAAAGAAACAGC